GTAGTCGTACGTATTGACCTGCGCGCGCGCGCTCTTTTAAATCGTTATACATCGAATACCCCCTCGGTAATCGCGCGCAGAAATATCCTCCTCGCTTTAATAACAAGAGAGAAATTTCGCATTGATAATTCTTGGCACGAAAAGAGAGCAAACGAAAAACAGACTCTCGGGCAATCGATGTCTAGAGCCAAGGAGCAAAAATTGCGTCAAACGAGCGGGAAAAAGGCGTCGCGTTTTTCGATAATGCGCGATTTTCGTAATAAACGTGAATCGAGATGGAGCGACGGGCGCGCGCGTCTGCCAGTCACGTTCCTGCATACGTACGTACGTAGGGCAAGCACATTGCGGGAGACGAAGGAGAATGAACAAGAGAGGCCGGCCAGGCAGGCGAGCGGAGGAGCCGCCCAGAGGAAAAGGGGGACGGAGAGGGGTACGCGCGGCCTCTCGCGAGAGACACACGCGTGGTTTCGCGTCTCCGAGGTCCAAGGTGGTGGGAGTCGTATGGCTTTCTTGAAGTCCGCGGGAGAAAACGCGCGGCGGAGCGCAACGAGGAAGGAAAGAGAGAGAGAGAGAGAGAGAGGGGGCGAGATGGAGGCCTGGGCGCTCGTGTACGCGGGTATACGCGTGAAAACGAACTCTGCCGAGAGAGGTTATTCACTGTTCCGCGGAAACAGACGCGCACGGCCGCGGCCGCGGCCGCGCTTTCGAGCGAGCGTGACGTAACAACGATCGGGCGATCGCGATCCGACGCCCGAGGAGAGAAAAATGAGAGGATACCTCTGGCACGCTCGGCTCGCTCGGCTCGCGCGACGCGCGTCGTCGCGTAATTTGACCGATTCCAGCTGTCCGGTTGCCAGAATCGGAGAGATAGAGAGAGAGAGAAAGAGGGAAAGGAATGCAGGCGAGAATCCATGAATCTAGCGATTTATAAATGGACCGGTTCGTGGACGAGCATAGATTTCATCGCGTTCGGAAATAGAAATTTATGATCGACATGTAGAGCTTTGAAAGTTTCATCGAGCAAACGGTAGCGTCTAACGATCCGTACGCAAGGTACAATTGTACAAGTATTATTTATATATCTCGAAATTGAAGCGTCGACTCGAAAGCGAAAGACGAAGAAAGATGTACATGTATTACATTTCGGCGAGACGTATACTTGTATGGAGAATTACTTTCGTTCAGAGCGCGAGGTCTCTATCGTATTTTTATCGAAGCGAGTCGCTACGCGCGGTATACGGTTACATTTTCCTCCATTTCTGAGAAATCTGTTGTAAACAAATAAAGAATCGACATTTTGCGCGACACAGATTCTTGCTCGTACACACGTACGATTGTAATTTTAATTGATACGTTTCAATTCTACGGATTGCGCGGTTTAAAAAAAAAAGAAACATCAAAGACGCACATGGATACGTCACTATTTGGCCGACATGATAAATTGTTGTTGTAAAAAAAAGAAAAGGAAATACGTTGCGCGTACAACAAAATGTACAACATACACGTTTCTCTCATATTTCACTTGTATTTTTATTTTGTTAATTTCTCGTATAATATACTAACAAAACATTTAATTACAAAACATGGGAATATCTCTGTATGTATGCATGTATGTATGTATCGTGTATCGTGTATATGTATGTGATGAAAGCGACTATGTGTTTTCTATGCGGTACCTTTTCTGGTTAATGCAGATATTACGACTAAATTTGACAAGTTTTCTACGATAAGTAGATGCATCGATAACGACAATTTACACGCAAAAAACGTGTGGCAAATGCCCCCTGTCCCTCTCGTCACTTTCTCGATTCGTTTCCGCAACTTTGTTCATTTGTCGCATTAATCGCGAAACTTACGTTTGGGCCCGATTCTCTCTCCATCTCTTTCTCTATCCATGTCCGTCATAAATACGCAAACGCAAGAAGGGATAAAAACGCTACTGTAATATGCGATATAATAATATTACCGTGTACTTCGATATTAGTTATAAATAGTTTTTAATAATTATTTGTCCAAACACTGAATATTTTACAACAGCCATCGAATCTCAACTATTTTTAACTCTATTTAAACAGTTTGCAACTTTTACAATTCATCTTTTTTTTCTCAATTTTACTTTTAATATTATTATGCGCGCGTAGCGTATCTGATCCAATATTATATCAATAATAGAGGGATATATCATAAATTTTGTAATTTCCTAAAAAATATTCTCTAAAAAATATGTCGACCTAAAGATTATTATGACTGATAATCACAGACAATTTTTTCAATTTTTTCGCTTTCGTACCGTCGAGTTTTTTTTCCGTTTTTTTTTATCAATAAATGTTATATTTATCTTTCTTTCTTTCTGTTCTCTCTTTTAAACGAGTACAATATTTCAAAACTCTACACTCTGTGTTTAAACGTTAGAATAGTAGTTTTATACACATCTTAAGAAGCGTTTTACATTTCTCCGAAAACATCTCTCTCGTTTTTTTTAAATTTCTTAAATTGTAAGAATCGTTTAATCTTTTTCTTTTTTTCTCTCCCTCTCTCTTCTGAGGAGATCTAAAAAGCACACAAAGAGACGAAATCGCCGGTTGTCCGAGGTTGTAATTAACGTGACGATACGCTGAAACGCGGTAATATGCGTCACGTACTCGTTTCCGTGAAATAATTTAATTACTTCATTTTAACGCAACACCGAGACGTAATATCTATTTGAATCATCGTTTGGAGCGAGTTCGTCTGTCGAAAAAGTGAAACATGCGTAAAAGTCAAAGAGAAACAATCTATCTATTACATCTATACATTCGTATTCTTTTTTACTATTGTTAAATTCACTATACGTTTATTCATCGTATCGTTTTTCTTTAGATAGTTGTCGTTTTTTTTTTTATACGCAACGTTACTTTTTGAAAGGTGCTGATGGATGTAGTGAACAAACAGTGCTCAATGTGCCCAAATATACGAGTGACTTGATTAGTGATGTATTATGCCTTCTCTTTCTTCCCTTATGTGTGTGTACATTATAATTGTTATATATATATATATATATATATATATATATATATATAAAATAAAATATTAGTAATAATAAAGTCTAGATGCATAAGTCGTGCGCACGCACACACATACACACATTCTCTCTCTCTCTCTCTTTCTCTCTTCACAATAGTTTAAGGAGTAGTTTAAAAAGACATAGAGAAAATGTTGTTCCAGAAAGCACCTGTTAAATACTCGTACGAATTCGTCAAGCAAAGATTATCTCGGGAGATAAATAGATTTCTTTTTTTTTTTTTCATTCTCTCTTTCACTTTTTCGTTTCCAGCTAATAAACACACACGTCCAAACATACTTTTCTACCAAAGTAATCATTTTACAATAGCGTAAATACGGTAATACAGATAATAAGACAATATGAGAATTTAAGAATCTCTATTTGCGAATGTAGAAATAAAATTGGATAGATAGCCTACAGTTTACAATCATAATGCGTAACGATGTAAAGTCGGGTTATATGGTATATATGTATGCTTATACATTTTATATAAGTCCAAAATATTTTTGATGTCCGTAGCATAACGTAGTAAGAATTAAAAATACACATTTGCTCGTTTGCTAGAAAAAAGAATTTGATTTGTATCTATGTCAACATAATGAGTACCATCGATTGTTCAGTTTACGTTAGTATTTTTTTTTCATCAACCCTAATACCGTCATTCGTAATCAATAAATATCAATAAAATATCTAACATTGTTATATTTTCAAGTAAGTTATCATTCTTACTAGTCGTATTACTCTTTTCATATACAGATTAAAATTAATTATCATTATATTAACAATATTCATCATCCAATAATAGTTATTAAAATTATTGATAATTATAATATATAAAAAAAAGATTCACAAAATACTTAAAAAAAATGGCAATTTCACGTGACCAGAACAAGTTTGCGTTTTCTCTCGTTTTTATAACTTTTTACAACTCAGCATACGCGCTTTGTACCAAACCAGGCCGATTAAAATCGTAGCACGTCTGACGCTTATTCGCGTGCTCAAATAATGCTTCTGCCATCTCGTTTTTCATTTCCATTTATATTACCTCTTTAAATAATTCACTCTCAATATTCGTCGCATATAACGCATCTCTTATTATTATCAAACACTTCCGCGCACCGCAACCTACTATCTCTTACTCTAGGCCATTTTTTTTTTCATGAAAAGTGCACTTAACGGTGTCCATGGAGCACCAAAATTTAAGGGACAACCACCTCGGCAGAAATTGATTAAGCATACCAAAATATATTGTCGTTAAATTATCTCACAGAGCGTTGTTACGCTGCTATGCTATTGCAGAGACACTGTATTAGTTTTCAATATAAAATATTACTTTTGCACAAATATACATATATAGATGTACAACTATCACTGGGCATAAAAGCGTAAGTATACTAAAAGTAAGGCAAAACTGGACTTTATAAGAGGGTATTGGTACAGAATCCATTACACGCATATACAGGGTGTTTCATTTTAATGGCCCCAGGCAAATATCTCCAGAAAAATATGAGACACGGAAAAATGTTTCAGCCAAAAGTTGTTTGGTTCGAAGGGAGACGTAAGATGGTATCATTGGTTTGACCTTAAGTGAGCATGCCAAGGTCATATAGAGTTTAACTTTTTTTTTTTTTTGGAATCCCCTATTATTTATTACATATTCTTGTAGCTTATCTCGAGAGTACTTATATAAACCATAAAATATCGAGTAAAATATTCATTTTTCGATTATTCTACCTCAATACTTTTATGCACAAAATGTGAGGAATCAATTGATGTGAAAAAACATAGTTGCTTTTGAGAAAAAATATGTAATTGTTAATTGCAAATTACATATTTTTTCTTTAAAACAATTGTGCGTTTTCTTTACATCAATTCATTGGTTTATATAAAATTAAGAAATTATTTCAAGCCTCATAACTCGAAAAGTACTTGATGAAAAATAACTTAATTATAGTGTTTTTGGAAAGCTCTCGAGGTAGCTTAAGAATGTATCATGAAAAATAGGGGATTCCATTAAAAAAATCAAAAGTTGAACTCTATATGACCTTTTCACTCAAGATCAAACCAATAATACCATATGTCCCCCTCCGAATCAAACAACTTTTTGTCTGAAACGTTTTTCCATCTTTCATATTTTTTGAAATATTTGCCTGGGGCGATTAAAATGAAACACCATATGTATATACATATGTGTGTGTGTGTGTGTGTGTGTGTGTGTGTGTAAAAAAAGTAAAATGTATATGGAATAGTCTTCTATGTAAAAGCATCTCAAATATTTCCTATTCTGAAAAAGTATCACAAATGTTCACCAGTAATATTTCCGAAGACGTTTATCGCAAATAATGTCTAATTAAAATGTCTAAATAAAATGTCTAATCTTTATCGAGCTGAATAAACAAATCAACTTTTCGATAGAAATTCCTTTGAAAAGATTTATATGTACATATTATATATCAGCGCTCTCTCTTCTTTCAAAATCTTTGTCAAATAAAATATAATATTCTTTTAAAAATATATTTAAACCAATTCTTAAAACTCGGATGATATCAAGTAAAATCAACGATTGTGATTTTGGCAAGATGGAAGCACAAATAGATGCAATATCTAAAAATGTGTAACAAGAAAGAAGAATGCTATCGACTTCTATCTAGAAATTAATCTGGAAAGAGGGTGGATTATTCTTTCAATCATGTCGCAATGCAAAATAATAAAGCATAGAATTATATCAATATCTGCCAAAGTAGGTACACCTTTGAACAATATCCTTGCTGTAGGAGACTGTTCTCGCTTGCCATTCTGTATCTCTCTCCTTAATGCCTACATTCTTAATTTAAGTTAAAACTGGTTTGCTATACTTACATCAAAGACGATATATCTAATCTAACAATTACATATTTTACAAAAACATTTTAAATCTGGCCCTACAGCGGACTTGAAATGTCACAAAGTTAGTCATACACTGTACACTAAATTTAAAATTTACAAATTATTAAAATATACAATTATATCGCAGATATTATCTACGTTCTTGATAAGATTATTTATACACTATACTTATTTCGTGTCAATTTGATGGAAAATAAAGGATAATTAAATTTTCGAAAACTCTCGAAATTCTCGAAAATCTGCTACTTTTTCGTCGTGCTCTGACGCGTCGCAATCTCTTTTTATCTTTGCGATATGTTCGTCCAACAATAAAAGGGAGAGTTTTTAAATTTAACCAAATCATTTGTATATATATATACAAATTATGCAATCTAAAAGAAGCACTCGCATTTAGTGTAAAGTGTAAGATAACTTGTACACTTGTAGATAATAGATAGAGTCTAAAAGTCGTGCGCGAGAAAGCACACACAGGCGTGAATAAAGTAACACTTTCAAAAGTCTGAAGCGCATTAGTACACGCACGACTTTGTCGGATGCGAAAGCGGGGCATATTCGAATGATTTATTGCTATAGGTATATACTTGTATGTATACCCCATTAAAATCAACTACACGAACGTAGCTGTCTAAGATAACATTGTCGTAACCATCGTGTGCTTCGTGTATATTTTATATCTGGCCTTCTAATATTTAGAGTGTATATGTAATCTATATGTATTCTTTTATAGTAATAAAAAGCTGCAATCTCTGAAAATAGATTGATGATGAGTAAAATGAACAACATTCAATAAAAACGAATCCTATTCGAAAATGTGCACACGCGCACGCGCAATTATAGCACATATTTTGCATCTCTGTCGTCGGTCAGCTGCTTAGAATAAGTTGTATATACGCAGTCTCAATTGAGATATTTGCGACATCTGCGAGAGCCGCAGGTACACGGGATCTTAATGTCCTCAAATGGGAATTTGTAATCGTACGTCAACTCTTCCCCTTGAATGATGCGACGAAGAGCAAAGATCAGTATGTGTTTCTTACCCAGAATATCCACCACTCGCGAGTAACAATTTGGCTGCAACACACAATTTAATATACATTTAGCGCGAAGAACTTTTATGTATGAAAATCATTTGACTGTTATATCATCATGTAATTAAAATCATTATATGATTATAAAATTAATGAAACATCAATCAAATGTTTTATATATACATTTTCTTAATTATCTTGATCATTAAATCAATTTTTGGCAACGATTAAAAGAAAGAAATTGTACCTCGCATGAATGATTGATAAATCTAGCTGCGTTCCCTTTCATAGTGGCATCAACAACCAGGTGATCGTCAATTTTAAACATGTAACAGCCTATGTTTTTACTGTCATAGTATTTTTCTCTCTTGTCGGTCAAAGAAGATCGAATAACCTAAGAACGATTTATAATTTCAATATTAACAATTATAGCGATACTTCAATTACAATAAATATTATAATGTATATTTTTTCATCCTTACCTCACCAGCATATTCAATGACCATTTCGCCAGCCTCGATATCTCTCAAACAGAATAATCCTCTACCATGTATGTGAGAATGGTATACACCGACAGATTTTTTTGATGTTTCCTTAAGTATTCTAAAGCGCATTGCCATGGGCAGATTTGTACTCGCGACTCGTCTGAAAGCAGTATATTGCAATGATATTCGATGTGACAATACTCTTTTCTCTTTGCTTGGTAAATTGTTAATATAATTGTCTACTTATATAGTAATTGTCACTTATATAGTTTTTTTTTAATTCAACCTTTTTAAAAAAATCGCCCACTTGTTTATTTTCAATCTGAGAAACTACAGCCTCGTTAAAAAAATACATATAATCGTGGCGCATTTTTTTTATATTTTACAATACTCACATACTATATATACGTACATAGTATGTGATTACTAAAATATACAAAATGCACACGACCTTTTATTTTTTTTCTACCATTTACTAACTTCAAATCGTCGTAATTTAATCATAATCATAATGTACAATTTTCGATATTAACCTGGAGTAATACTCGACGAATTTTACCTGGACTCTGCTTCCGATATAGAAATCATCTTGGGCTGTTGCCTGTGCTGCGATGCCAACCAACTAAACATGTCGTGCACCTTCCTGCCCTTGAACGGTTCCGCTCGAACTGCTCCATTGTCGCAGGCTGCTGGCAATTCGTTTTCCATTTCGCCAGATTTCGGCGGCGATGGAATGTGAAACTTGGGCTTGTATTTGCTACATCGATTGATTCCCGGCAGTTGTTCAACTAGATAGACAGTCGCATTGTTTTCCAAGCCGAGACCCTCGGACAAGGGATTATGAGGCAGAGGGGGCAAGTTGTGAGCTCTGCGAGCATTCTGTACCGCCTGATACACCGTTTCCCAGACCTCGGTCATGGACGAGGCGGTATGGGTGAAGCCATCCTGCGATTTAATTTCGTACATTAGGATCGGTCCCTTCGCGTAGTTCTTGTGATGCGGACTCTGTTGTGGATTATTTCGCACTGGTCTAATTGATTTTGTCACTATCCTAGGTTTCTTGACGGCGACGGGTGGTGCCTTTGCCTTGAGTATATTCATCTTTGCATCAATCTTGGGCTTTATCTTATCGTCGACTTTATTCGTCTTGAGCGTGAATGTTTTAATCGGTAACAATTGCAGCGACGCGATCTGGGGCACCTGCTTCGACGGCAATATCTCCACGGATGTCACTTGCGGCGATACTTTCTTGCTCTGATTGACCGTCGCCTTCATGTTGCGTGTTATTTTGTAAGAACCATCTTGCAGTTGTTTCTGCAACACTATTTTCAACGATGTGTTTTGCAGCTTCTCCTTGTCGAGCTCCAGTTTGAGATTCTCCTTTACCTTTTCGATAGTTTCCGTATTCAGTTTGATACCGTCTTTGATGTTGTTGAATACAACCTCAGATTTTTTGATCGGCGTAATCTCCTTGATAATTCCCTTCTTTGATTCCGCGATTTCTGGCTCGGCTGGCTTGAATACCGGTTTCGTAGGTTCTTCAATCGCTAAATTGTCCTTCTTGACCGGATCCTGCTTCGGTGTCACCGCTTGCATCGGTAGTACCCTGTTCATCGGTCGACTGGTCGGCATGTTATTGCTCGTTGGCATTGATATCTTGTTTTGCACAGAGGTGGCATTGACGATCGAGTTGTTACCGCTGACACTACCGTTCACGATGCAATTGGTGTTCGGTACAACGGTACCGCAGCTCTTGTGAACACTATTTACATCATGGCTCGACTTGTTATTTACAATTGGATTCCTCTGCGCGATAATATAATGATTCGGTAAGGGCGGTATCTTGGACGATGATATGCTCGACTTGATCATACTGGTATTCTCCGATACGTGTTTCGAGTCGAAATAGGGCCGCACGCTGTTACTCATCGGTTGCTCAAACAGAGGCTCGGTGATTTTCCAGGTGGATCCGTGATTCACTTGCGTGATCGGATTTGGTCGTACCGCAACGCGAGGTATCGTCGGTATCGTGTGTGGCGGCGACAGGGGTGACAGCTTTGTGGGCGACGTCGCAGCGACAATGGTAGTATGTACGTTCAATGGACACACATCCGCCACTTGAACCGACGTCATCGATTGTTCGACGCTCGTATTTTGACACGATATCGGCGACACGGCATTGCATGGCGCGACGCTGTTGAATGCTCGTTCTTGAGTCGCCACGGATATGTTGATCTGCGGCAGCGTCGTAATCGCTTTCACCTGTGGCGATGATATCGATGCTGCTGTTGGAACTGGCGCTAGTACCGAGACTGGCAGCGCAGGTGCTAACAACGACGACGATGATGATGACGACGACGATAACGATGATGACGATGACGACGACGACGACGACGACGACAACGACGACGACGACGACGACGACGACGACGACGACGACGACGACGACGACGACGACGACGACGACAACGATGACGACGACAACGACGACGATGATACTAATGATGTTAATGATGATGGTAGAGGTGGTGGTGGCGGTGGTGGCGGTGGCGGTGGCGGTGGCGGCGGTGGCGGTGGTGGCGGTGGCGGCGGCGGCGGTGGTGGTAATGATGCCGGTGTCTGTTGGTTTACTACCACGTAACCATTAGGTACCGCTGGCACGCCGCTCACGCTCTGCATGCTTGCAACGTTTGGTACGCCGGCAATGTTAGGTACGCCGGACACGCTCGGAACGCCTGATACATTTTGTACGGCTTGTACCGTCGTTACCGTAGGTACAGCTTGCACGTCCACGATAGGCTCCATCAATTTGGATGCTTGAAACACCTGAGTCGTTGTTTGGTAACTGCTGGCCAACACTTGAGGTACCGCGCCCGCCATAAACTGACTGGACGACATTACTGTATTGCTAACGATTGTTTCTAGACCATAATACATTGGTTGATTCGACACAAACATGCCACCGGTTGGATCGGCAAACATTTCAAGCGTGGGCGTGGAACTCAACAATAGTTGTTCCGATGATATAACGCCGCACTGAATCGCGCTAGGTTGTTGCTGAATGATAGTTCCCAACACCGCAGGTTGTGTCGGTGTAATCTGGACACTCGGCAGTATCGATATTCCGCCATTCTGCAGGGTCAAGAGATTGTCGGCGGACGGCGCTTGTATATAAGTGGTGCTCGGTAGCAGGGAATTTGTAGCGATTAACTGCGGCGGCGACTTAAAGCTGGCTTCGTGTTGCCCACCGCCGATTGTCGTAATGTACTGCAAGTTTTGGCCCGATTGCTGTTGCAGCGTTTCCACATAAGCGGACATAATTCCCGGCGATGCTACTTGTTGAAGAATCACTGTCGGTCTTTGGGTGGTCTGTTGCAGCTGGATGACTGCTGGTGGATGGCCGCTCTGTATCGTCGGCTGAAATCTGGCGTGCGCAACGTTATGCGGCGTCTGCACAACATTCTTCAGGATATGCTGCTGCTGCTGTTGCTGCGACTTGATGCTCTTAGTCCTGGACTTGGCTATCCGCGGATTCTTCGACTTGGAGGAAGCTCGAGAAATTGCTTGCGCGTTCGCATGAACGGATTCGTGAGCGGTCTGGACGGCCATAGACGACAACGTGGGCGACACTTCTGGACTGGAGACAGTTTGCGAATTCGTGCTGTCCGGCGAATTCATCGGCGTATTCACCATACCGTGCGCCGTAATGTTGGAATCGCTGGAGACGGACGGTGGATCCGTAATCTCCGTTATCTGCACCGTGCTTTCCTGAGAAGGTAATACTGCTGCATTCGGCAAGGTGGTGGTCCTGCGAGTGTACTGGGTCTGTACAATCACGTCGTTGGACGTTAATACTGTCTGATGCACGGTCTCGACCGTGGCATGCGCCGTATGGATCTGCGGCGTAATGATCGCCTGGGCGATCGGTTCGATTTGAATGTTCGGATGAGGCGACGGCACGGATGCCTCGATAGGCGACGTTGCCTGGATGTCCGTATAATCGGTTGTCAAAGTGTGACCCTCGGACGGCGAGAGGGTGATAAACTGTGGCGAACCTACGTTTGGCGAGAATCTCGATTCCGGCGACGCCAGCTTGTTGTCCATGGTCTCCGAGTCGCTGTCGCTGGTGATCATAATATCGCAGTTGGTCAAATGTCGATTGTAACTGTCTTGGGTGCGATATGTGCAGCAGCATCTTTTGCAGGTGACAGGTCGATCGATGTGATGCTCGAATGCCGGCGATTCATACGGAGTATGAATCATTCTCACCGCAGAGACATGCTGCGACGACACGCACTCATCGTCGCTCGAGATATCACCCGCGCCGTCCACTTGAGGAATTTGCAGATTCAATTTGAGATTTTTCTCTTTGAACAAACTTCCCGTCTCGAGGTGCTGCAAGGTGCTGCATCTGCTAGAAGGAGCGACTACGTGGTTACCACCGCCGCCGCTTCTCACCTTTTGTAACTTGTCACCGGCATTGCTGGAGGAGACGTGCGATCTAATAAAACCGAGGATACGCTTCGAGTGTAAAAAATTTGCGGATCGTGTATACAAGTCGAGATCCTTCTCCACATTTGATTCGCATTCGGACGTGTGCTCGTCATCGTTGATGCCGTCCAACTGCGGAATCGATTCGGATATATGATTCAGACTCACGTTCTTCTCCTCGGTATTGTATTCCGGTGAACTACACTCGCTAGCGCTATTAGCATCAATTGATCCATCGACCTGCACTATTCGCGGCTGCTGTTGTCTCGGGTGCCAAAACAATCTCTTGTGCTCTTTCGCTCCTTCGTCCCTAGTTGGCAATACGCGGCGATTTAGTCCGGCGGAATCTTCGATGCAATATTTCAACTCACGCACTGAATCGGATAATATGTTGGGCGTATTTCCTCTTCCCACGGCGACCATGATGCTCTCCGGAATCCTCAGCTCGTGAAACATGGACGCGCGTTCGTTTTGTGAATCTAATACAATGAGGCCAGTTTCATTTGGTTTGGCGTTGGATGGATTTCGGGGTAATTTCCGTCTCTTTATGCCAGGACCATAGGTGTTGTCTAGTTTACAACTCCAAGTAAGACTGCAGGAGCGCTGATGATGATGCCGCTGGCCGCCAACGATCAGCGGATTATTCGACATCACCTCTGATTTAGATCGTTTCAGTTCTCTACCGCCGCGTTTTTGATTCTTCGAATTAAATAAATCATCCACGAGATCTTGAACCGCAGTCTTTGCCTCCAACCGTACCCAGAGATCGTTGTGCGTTCCCAATTCCAACACAGACGGATCCATTTTGGAGATTTTACTTTCCGGCGGTTTTGTCGTCTCCTCCATCTCTGACGGTAACATATCATCCTTAAATAGATCCGCGATAAAGGTACTGTCATTTTTCAAGTCCATAGCTAAAAAATCCTCGTACGACATTTTTGGGAAAATGTCCTGCATAGAGATTCCGTCTAACAAATCGTGCGGTAAATCCTCAAATATAGCCTCCTTCAGTTCTGGTGGTAAAAGATCCGTGTTGCTTTGTTCCGCCAAATTCTCGTCAACTTCTTTGCTGCACACTGTATCGATGAGCGTATCTAAAGTCTGTTTAACAGCCAAATAGTCGACTTTTTGCGTATCGACTGATATTTGTTCCTTTTCTTGCTCCTTGGTATGATCGATGGTGATGTTATTTTCCATATCGGACGTGATATCCGGCATATGTACCTGCACATAAGTTCTGATGTAATATCTTACAATCTTGTAAGGATTCACTGTGGACCAATAGAGCCTCGAGCATTTGTAATCGCACGGTATTATCTTCTCAGTCGTGTCAGACAATTCGGGAACAATGGTCCCTAGACAGTCGATCATTAGAGAGCCAATCATTATCTTAACCTTATTAGGTTCCGCATACTTTTTCCTCTTACGATCTAATTCTACGTATATTGGCCGCTTCAAACTAAATTCGTTTTCGTTTTGTAATGATTTGCGAGGAAAATTATTCGAATGCGAAACGCAGAATACTGTTTTATCATCGTTAAAAGTGAGCCCGATATTTCTCGCGCATGGAAAGTGAAAAATATTGCTACAGTTCTTCGCGCAACATCCGATACTCGCGCCTTTCTTGCCGCATTCCGTGCAACGGATCAAACGACCCCTCGAAATAGCGCTGTGAACGTTTTGCAACGACCCGTCAATCTCCTCAAACACCTCGTTCGACCATAGTGCACAATTTGCGTGCACCCATTCGTTTTGTCCGCAATAAAACAGCCTGCCCTCCTTCGTCTCCTGTCCGTCGCTCAAACCTTTGCATAAACAACACGATCTGCTGTCTTCGACATGGATATTATACAGATTTATCGTTTTCGTTGCGATCGCTTTCGGCGCCTTTGTCACTTCCTCCTTCCACATTTCTAGAATAGGATCCTCGAACCTAGTCAGAGGGATAGTATAATCTTTGCTAATATCTCTGGCAGATGTATTTGACGTATCGTCATCATTGTCGTCATTTTTGAAATTTTTTGGAGTAAACCAGGGAAATACCTCTTGTAAAATTTCATGATAAGTTTCCGTCAGATCCTTTGAACCGGCGCAATTGATCACGTGCTCCATATCACAATGAAATTGCGACAGCGATTTGTACTCATTGCCATTTACCCTTTGTTTTATCGACATTAAAGTGGGCGAAGGTCTCGCGATGATTTGCTGCTCGGAGCAGCGACATTCCATAATGTTGGAGGAGATTAACGATTCCTGATTCGTCCAATCCTTTCTCTCAACGTCTTGCAAATCTTTCGGAACACAATTCTTCACCCTAACCGAGCATTCTCTCAGATGAAATTTTTGTCGCAGCCGTCGCAGACCTTTTCTACCGGAGCCATCTATCGAATGTTCCTTTACATCGGATTTGATAGCGTCTCGATAATTGATATTCGAGTTTGAGTCGATATCCGTAGATTTATCACCGTTACATTCTTCCAACTCCTCGTTTTCTTTTGTCTCGCTCTTGTCTTCTCCGGGAAACTCGAGTCCCCTTACAGTTGAAACTGGCCTGCATAGACATTCCTTCCTGGGACTCCACTTGAGAGCCATGCAAATCTTGCGGTTTTTACTTAGGGATTTTATGACGTTGATAAAACCTGCCTTTAATTCAGCCTCTATGGCATTCCTCCAGACAGAGTTTATGTTAGAGGAGCATTGGCTGCACGTAAATTCGATCGAATCGGGTAAATAACTAAGTATCTGGTAACGCTCATCGGAAAGGCCTTCGCAACGGGCATGTACCCAACAAGAACACTCGCTACATTCCATCATCTAAAAAAAAAAATGCAGTACAATCGCAATGTAAATTGAAGATGTGCAATCTTAAAAATGCCATCAGAAATAAAAAAAACATGTTTATATTTTACCTTTGTATCGAAATCGTTTTCGTTGTAACATCTTTGACATAAAGGACAATAATTGCCTTGCTGTCTTAACTTAAAGCACATGGAGCACAGAGGTAAATTGCCTACGTGAACGTTGACGCCCTCGCTACCACAACTCTTGCACTTGATACAACTCTGACAAACGTAGGGTCGATCAGGATTGTACAATCTCGAGCTAACACCGGACTTGGACAAACATGAATGGTGAAACGACTGACGACAACGTATGCAAGACAATTTCGGACCGGATCTGAGATGGCAGGATTGACATATTGTACACCGGGGGCAACACCAGTTTGGCTGTGCGCAAGCATTCCACTCGCTGGGTTCCAAACAGAAAGCGTGATATGGCTCGCAACAGCATTGACAGTGAATTAACTGCAAAAAAATGGTTGTTATGTCGATAGATGTTCTCAATGATATATATATATATATATATATATATATATATATATATATATATATATATCGTATTTTACTGTTACTTATAATTACTACATATCTTTGTTATTCATCTATCAATATGATAAAATCGATACTATTCGATACTGTTTATTTACCGGCTCTTTGCCGGCGCTCCCGCATAGATAACAAATAGCAGGTATGTGAAACAGCTCAGAACCGATAAGAGCAAACCCTTTCGCCCCAACTTCCGAAGGATCGTACTGTTCCCAGAAATCTATGGAAACTGTATATAAGGTATCTGTATCTGCCTTAGACATCTGCAATAATTTTTGTATCATTTATATTACAAATTAAAATTATTATTTCATAGAATTTAAATTTGAATCTCATTCCCTGCATATAGTAATGAGCTTTACATTTAAAATTGCAAATAAATAAAATTAAATATAGATAAGTTATACACAATATTAAATTTGTAATTAATTTGTCACGAAATAAAATTTACAATAACTTATAATTTGTTTCTTGTTACCTTAAAAAATTTGTAGCTTTTTTTGTTATTAGCAAACTAAAACTGTATTGTCTAAAAATTTATTTTCATTGGAAAATATCTATATATACATATATTCCATGTCTGAAAGAATATTAAAATTTTTTACCACTGGAAAATGCGATGTTGATACAATCTGTTGCGGTTTTCCCCTTCTTGAATGTGATTGTTGTGCCACATTAAGATTAAAATTATTATCTTCGTTATGCTTATGCATTTCCTTCTCTTTCGTTACTTCGTCTTTCTTCTCTATTCTCTCTAGTTCTTTTGCCGATTTTGGAATGTTTTTACCGTGTTCGTCGTCTTCTTTCGCGTCTGCAGTTGGGAAAGTTGCAATAGGTTGTCCAAGAGCGACACTGGCACTTCGACAAACATGTTTTACTCTCGGTCCTTTCAATTCGACTCTTTGCCTAAGAGATTGCGGATACTGATTATTAGTGGAGGAAGCGAGCACTGGACTTTTAATTTTCCTTCTCACTTTAATCCTATTATTTTTTCTCCGTTTTTTATTCGGCGATATACTCATCGAAGAATCAACTGTAAAATACACAAAACTGTTATTTGACATAAATTCAAATAAACATACAAAACACTTTTGAAATATACAACAAAAAAAGGATATATGATGTAAACATAACTGTCTTACATTTGTCTATCTTTGTATAGAGAAAACTTCCGGCACTTTGATAATTCGTTTCATTCTGTCCCATTTCGAAATTTCTCCAACCCATCGCAGACTTGAACAAATTTCTTTCCAAACTGTCTTCCGAGGGCCAACTGAGTTTACACTGAGGACCTAGCTTTTGTCCCTGACCATCTTCGTCTTGACCAAAGGGCAAGGAAATACTTAGAGGGTCTCTCATTAATGGTGGTAACAATGCGTTTAAACCTGTTCTCAAAACAGGTGGAATGTTGTAACATTTCAAACACATTTTCAACCAACACGCCGGGCATCTCGCTTTATAAACGCATCTTATGTTCCATTGCTGGCTCCTCACAACGGGCGGGACTAAGCAGAGACCATCGCCTTTATGACACTGAAGAATAGGAAGAACATTGTTTGAGGATTTAGCGCAAGCTTGACGCTTGATCATTTTGCTTATAAACTTGCGGCAAGACTCGCAACTATGAATACCAAACTTGCGCGCCTGTTTCACGAATCGGTAAAATCGTACAGCGCCACAAACACCGCACTTTATAGTTCCTGTTAAACCTAAAATGTTGAAAACGAGATAATTACAATTAGAAGACGGAAAAGTTTCATCGTACGCGATATTAATATGATAAATAAAGAGCTTCAAATTTTTGTTACAGAACGAAAAATACAATATATACCTAAATTAGTGTTTCCACCCACGGTATTGCTGGTGCTTGACGTTGAAAATGGTCCTTCTGTTCCAGTCAAACATTTATTATCCAATTTCAATCTCGCTTTTCTCAATATCACTTTTCCGCCATTGAGTTTCATTCCACTGAATTCAGATTGCTCGCTATCCGAATGATTACTTTGCTCGTTTTCGCTTTCGGACAAATTGCTTTCCGTTTCAAAATTATTATTCAACGCGTTAACCACAATCTTGTTACCATTTTCGGGCTGATGCTCGATTTTTGCGCAATCACCTTCCAATAATCCGGCACCATTTTCGAAGCTGGCTGTATTATTTAAATCGCTCGCTACCTCATTTTGAGTTCCCGATCTCGTTTGAACCCTGGAAGACTCAAAGTTTGGAACATTAGAATCAGGAAGAACTTTTGTAGGAATAGAAATCTGTTTCTGATTTCTGAGAACTGCCGATTTCGTAGTTTGTGCCGCTCTGCTCGAGTTTTGCAAGCATTCCTGATTATTATTAAAGTTGTCGGATGTATTGTTTGATACTTTATTCTTACACGATACAGTATGGGATTTCTTTACTTCTCTACAAGTGGTTTTTGATATTTGTGCGTTTTGAACAGAACTCGCCGATTTCTCTATATTTTTCACTTGTCGAGGTACAATCTCGGCATCAAAGGCATCTACGCTCTCAATCACTTTTTTCGATTTATTTCTTGCTTCTTTATCTTTAAATTTTGTACATGATTTATTAACTACATCTGCTTTCAGTTTTGATTCCCGATTGCTAAACTTATCCAAATTTAATTTAGCCTTTTTTACATGCATACCAATTTCATTCTCGCTGTGTTCCGTACCAGAAATCTCTTCCAATTCTTCGATAAACCTCTTATTTGGTTTTATAACCCTGGACGAATGCACGCTGCGAACGGGTAAAACAAATTTTCTTACAGTGTTGGACTTCTCTCCAGAGTGCAACACCAAGTTGCGCGAGTTACTTCCATTGGATTTTGCCCTTTGAAGCAATCTTTTCGCCGTACTGTTGCGTAACTGTCTAGTTCTTTGATGCTGATCCAAGATGTTGTTCACTGATTTTAAAACTGGATTTGCCAGATAATTAGCAAACTTGATAGTCTTGCAATTTTTGCGATTTTTAGCTCGGCGAATTTTTGAAGTATCTTTAGTATTCAAGTTTGTAACTGCTTTCGCAATGTCTCGAGGCGGTTCTGCATTTGTATCGGCAGGTTTTTCCACATTAGTGTTTTCGGTATCTGTGGGAGAATTTTTAACATCTGTAATGTCCTTTTTCGTGTTTGACTGTGGCGCATGATTTTTGACTGTAGTAGAGGGTAATTTATCCGTAGTGTTTTCTGCATTGTGTTGCTGCGTTTTTATGTAAGATGCAGAAAGATTAGCCTCTTTAATGCTAAATCCATGGAACGGTGGATGTTCCTATAAAGAGAAAAATTATTTATATATAAAAATGACAAATTATAATTAACAATTATATATGTGTGTACGTGTATCGGGGGGATTTAATAAATTTGCATCGCAGAGTAAATAGATGACTTTTGAATTACATTTACTTTCTTTACGCATGACAATTTTGACAGCTTGCTCGCTGTCAAATCTAAATTCTAAATTGACAATCTTATCAGTCTCTCGTTGCGAAAAGATTATGAAACGCAAGACAATTTACAAAATATATATAAATACATATTCTTGCATCGAAGAATAGCACAAATTGCAACGGATAAAAATGCACAAATTGCTATTGCTAAATCTGACTCGTGGACAAGGGAGACAATGCCAAAGTGAGAAGTAAATCGTTGATCGTAAACAAAGTTACACACGTCGTGCACCTGCCATTCCGCGATCGCGGTCGACCTCCGCTCCGACAGGATAGGATAAGGTAGGATAGTAGAGGTTAACTCGCGCGTTTACGCGAGCCCAAGGCTCGTCGCCCGCGCATCAAAGATCCACCGTATGTGTTTTCGGCGCGGCTTATCGGACGGCGAGCAAATCGGATGTACCCGCGAGGACAGGTTACGGTTCGCGACGCGACGCTGTCGAGCTCGCACGACCTCGGCAACGGCGAGGCAACGACGACGACGGTAGCGGCGGATGCCTCGACGCGTCAATTTCTTGCCCTCTCACCTTGTCGTTGTCACCGAATGTTTCGTTGAACAGGGAAAGTCCGTAGTAGATGTTCTCGGCGACAGTTACCGGATCGTTTTGCGCTGCCTTAAGCTGGCCGAGCACCTTGATCCGTTTCCTGGTGGCCGTCTTTGGCGGCTTCCCGGGAAACTTGGACCTTCCCATGTTCACAGTTTTCAACGGCAGACCTCAACCTCGGAGCGAAATTCCGCTTCCATTTTACTCGCGATTCGTGCCCACGGCCGAGAGGTGCACCGACTCTCTCGCGTACACTATAATACCGACGTACGCTCTCCGACATACGCGCGTATACACGGCGCATACACGGCGCGCGCGCAGACACACGCACATGGAGGACGGAGACCGCCGCGCCGCGCCGCGCCGCGCCACGCCGTTCTCTCTCCCTCTTGCTCGCTCCCTCCTTCCTTCCTTCCCTCTCTCTCGCGTTCGGCCAACGTCGGCCGCGCTCGGTCCCGGCCGCAAAATACGCGCGTACTTGTCAAACAGGGAGCCTGAGCTACCAAGGCGGGCTACGCCGTTACACGATCCGTGCTCGTACCCGTCGTCGTTCCGGCTATCGCGACGACCCTCGCCGCCTTCGCTCGTTCACGAATCTGCGATAATCTGCATTTCGACGTAATCGCAAGATAGAAATGGCGGAATCGAGAGTAAGTAACGAGAGAGACTCGCATTTTTCAACATTTTCAAAATTCCCAACGACGCCAAAATTACTTTTCCACGTTGTTCGTGACGATGGAAACGCGGCAATAAAGGATGTAGCGGCATGAAGGATGTATTTCTTTCGCAAGTACTCGAATTAAACTTTCGCACTTTGAAATTATTTATACATATATGCGTGATTATATAAAGTTGCGCAATCCAAATTTCAATTGTGCGAAATTTGATGGTACATAATTATTATAAATTTGGATTCAATGTCTTTCAATGTTTTAAGTTTAAATGGATATTATTTTTTTTTAACTTACACTTTACGTTTGTTTTGCGGGCTCAATAAACGATTGATAAACATCTCGCATGTCAACATCGAGGAGGAAAGCAGCAAGGGTAGTACGCAAGGAACGACGCGGGGCTCGAACGATAAAGATCGCGTAAACTTCCCGTCGAGGAGTGTCGGACGTTGAGAACCGCGCGCGACTAGTTTGAATATACATACATGCTTAACGTTGGCTTTATACGCTGACGTTTATTTCGTACAAGCGATATGTTATACTTGTCCATGAATTATTATTATTATTATTATTTGTCATCATATTTATTTTTCAACTTACGCTTTAACAGATGTTGGCGGCGTGTAAGTTTCTCTTTTTAATAAATTGAAAAAATATGACTGAAATTTTAATAAAAAATAAATTGCGCGATATTGCGCAAATGAGTTAAATAAAATAATTTTGCGCTAGAGATAGGTAAATTTTTTAATTCGTTTATCAAAATATGTGTTTTGTTTATCTCAGTTTTCTCTCATGTATACTTGTCATAATAATGTACTACTTGTGCAATATTTAAAGAACAATTACATGTCTTATATGTGCATAAAACTTGTAAAGTTTTATATTTGAATAAAATGTGCTTCATCCAAAGAGAGACGTTGAGAGAAAATGTTAAAATAATAAAGTGATGGAAATAAATTTCGCTGCTTATTACTATGCGTATTAATTTTATATACATATATAATGATAGAGCATCTACTATATATTTCTCATTTTTATCTATATTTCATTGCTCCTTTCTGCATCTTGAGACAAAATCAAGGAATCCTCTTATAAATCATCTCAATCTTTTAAAAGATATTCCTGCCAAAGTTGTATCACACGAAACTATAATCATTTTAGCGGCGCTTTAATCGTTTCCGATATTCTATTAAGCATTGTACTTGTATGTTAATCAAATAGCAATTGAGATTATCCCAACAAATGACTTTTGTCGACGCTGTATCGGTTGCCTCTCTGCAGCGTGACAGTTGAAGAACCGCGAGTTACCGATAGATCGATTTCTTGTATATATGCAGTGTATTTCCGTATGTACGCATATAGGATTTGTTCAATCGAATACAGAGTACAACTTTTGCGTCCATCTAGCGATATGCAATATTTAAAGTGGCGTTGATGCTTTAAACGTAAAAATACGAAAAAAACAAAATTAAAAAAAAAATTCGTGACAGTCTAGAGTGAGAGAGAGAGAGAGAGAGAGAGAGAGAGAGAGAGAGGGAGGGGAGAGAGAGAGAGAGAATAATATTTAAATAAAAATAAAAAATATTTTCAAGTATCGAGGATATATGTATACATTTCATATCTTTGAAATATCTTTTTTTTGGTATTAAAAAAGATTATAACAAGATAATTTTTTGGTTTACGCACACCACACTTGGTAAATAAGCAAATCGTTCATAATCCAAAATCGTCAATTGTTTCTTTGAGCGGAATTTTTTTTTTACATATATTTTACAAACAAAATTTCCTTAAAATTAAAACTTACAATTTTATATATTACACGGTGCGCAAATAAGCTGTATATCTCTTAAAAGAATTGTGACAATAGCATGCACATTGCACAAATCGCAATCTATTTAAATTTCAATTTATACTCTAGGATAATGAAATATTTATCGATTCGCCTAGATTCTCGTGTTATATATATACGTAAAAGCTATTTTTTTTCATAATAATATTTATTAGAATTCATAATGATTATTTTTGTCGATGATTGCTTATTAAAATTTCCCCGAGAAACGAAAGAAAAATAAATACTGACAAAAAATATATTTAACTATTCGACTGCGTGTGTATTCTTTAATTTTTCTCATAATGTGTACAATTACGTAATATTTATTAATATTCCCCGCATACATTCCGTATGATATAATAAATAATGTCTATAAGAGTTGCATTTGAATCGCTCAATGTTGAAACAAGAGAAAAACTTGTTACAATTTTCCTTGCTGAAAATTGAAATTGTTGTTGCCAAGAGATTCGTAAAGTATTGTACATTGCAATATTTCAATATTCTCGAGGAAAAGTCAATTATTTTCGAATAAAGCAATCTGTCTTATTTTCTAAAATTTCGAGCCGAAAACTCGAGTGGAGAAAATTCCGTTTTCGAATCCGTTAGCCTTTACGTTTGATTTTCATCGATTCTCGCTTTTATTTTAACTTTGAGCGATTCGCTTTTCAGGTGGCACACTTTGGTTGGTCGGCCGAAAATCACCAGCTGCCGCGCTCAGCTGTTAAGATCGCGTGTCCGACAGGCGCGTGTCGTCGCGCCGCGCCGAATCGCGGTGCGAGAACCAGCATCTGGCCCAAAGGCGCGTTGTCTACGAGCGCGACTCTCCAAGGCTCGTTACCAGAGCGAGCGAGCTAGCAAACTCGCTTATCTCTCCATCATTCCGCTCGAAATACTCGAGCGGGTGTGGTACCACCGGTCGTACCCGTTGGGATCGGTCAGCTAGCCGGTTGTAACGGAGCTATAAGATCTGCCGTTCCGTTCCGTTCCGTTTCGTTGCCTCGCATCGCGTACCTTTTCCGAACGCTTTGCACGGTGTGGCTTATGAAATATCAACCTTTAACAACCTTACTTTTCGTCATTGACGTGCATTTCCTAGCGAATTTTCTTCAAATTTAAAAACAGGTATACAATCGAGAAGTCGCTCGCGTCGATGTTTACGGCGAGTAAAATGTAAAAGGAGAATATAGATGAACAAAAATTTTATATTAATAATTGCATAGATACACTCTTAAGATTAGACATTTAGATTTATCACGATATATGTGTGTTGGAGATTAAAAAGCTACGAGAAAAAAATTTTGGAATCAATTCTTATTGTGGTTATTTGAGTAGAGATATAATTACGAGGAATTATATATACATCCAACAATGGAAAATGAAAATTATTAGAAATACATCTCCGGAATTTTAGTTTTCACACACACATGCGTATTATAGTCTGTAGAGTATATTTTATTTAAAGTGAACTTCAAGACTTGGGTTTATGTGTGATATGTACATTGTTGAATATATTGAAAATTGCAAATAAGAAATTCCAAATTAACTTTTTTCAAAACAATTTAAATTGAATCCCTCATTTTTTCAAATTTCTAGGAGAATAAATTTTCGTACCATATTTCCTCATGGAACAAGTGCGCCAGCCTACAAGAGTAATACGTCATGCATTCAGAATTGCCGATCCATTCGCAAAATGTATGGACAAACGAGCGAGTATGAAAAAGAGAGTATGAGAGAGAGAGAGAGAGAGAGAGAAAGAGAGATAATATACATATTAATATATTTATATGCGGGCGCGATCGCAGGTATTGAAACCGGGACCGGTTTCAGTTTTATGACGGTGTCGAATGTTCCGCGAGAACCGGTAATAACGCGATTTATACATTCGCGGAGCGATCCGTTTCAAACGCCCACGTGGCCGTGCATTTTACTCGCTCAGCATCGCGATCCGTTGTATTCGCACTTTTTATTATATCGCTTTATTGTATTTTACTCCTCCTTTTTCTCTTTTATCGCCTTTTTCTTTCCTTCTTTCCCTTTCTGGCCGATTTTGAATTTATTGCACCTAAAAACATCGGCTTGGCAAGATGTATTATTAATTTGTTCATTATGCTACGCAATTTTTCACCAGAGCTAGTGTATGTTCCATTTGAACAAAGATTATTTGTACCTTTTTATTCAATGCAAATTAAATTGTAAAAAAATCATCAAAATAATTGTAACATTGAGATCAATATATATATATATATATATATATATATATATATATATATATCGTAACACATTTAATGCGTTTACCAATCATACAATTATTACTTGTGAATAATTTGTTAATATTTATTAAAGAAACAATTATCACTATTTCAACAAATCATGATGATTGTTACGTTCACGGTTAGAAAAATATTTTAGACTATTATTTTATCGCCTACATATGTAAATATATATATTTTTCTATTTTGTGTTATTCAAATGGAGCATGCATATACCTTCTTTCATAATTTTAAATACACGATATCGATATATTAATCGCGTGACTTTGCTTCATTCGAGGAAAAGCGCAACTCATTAATAATTATGAATTTTTCTAGTACATTCAAAACAATTTATTTAGTTCGATAAACGCGAGACTGAAATTGGTCATGTACTTAGAAAGAAATTTATGACAATCGTGATCGGTATAATATATTTAACGGAATTCAGACTTGTGCTTTTCGTCGATCGATGAGTCAGATCCGTCTGTGCCGCATATTTTAACGAGTTATAATTGAGTA